ATACATGTATTACTAAATCCGTTTATTATTCATACAGTATTCAAGCACAATTATAGAATTTTAATATTTTATTATTTATGAATATAAAATGCCCTTATATATTAATTTGTCTCTAGTCCGGTATAATAAATTATACAAATAATGCATTTTAATTCTTATAAATATAAAATTTATTATGAACACCTTTATTAAAATTAATTAAGCTTGTAACCCAGGTATTACCTTGGTTTACTTAAACTTTAGTTCACATTTTTCTAGTACTCTTTATTTTTTTTAAAAATTGGATAATTTATTAGATTTTTTAAAACCATAAGTTAATAGAAATAAATAGTTTATTATAATAATAATATAACATTTGCACAATTAGTAGTGATCTCTTAAAATATGGCTATAAATGCACAAAACAGTTGAGTATTTTGATTACAATAGAAACTCATTAAAATAATATAATAATTACCTGGGAAATATAAAATGTTTGTAAATTTAAAAAGGATTTTATTTTTAAACAAAATTTTTATTTTTATTTACAAACATATGCGATGTGTATTATATAGTTTATTGTTAAATATTTATAAAATATACCTTGATTGTTATAATGAAAACTAACTATACACAATAAAGTTAAATAATTTATATAGTCGACACTTGATTTCAATTGACAAGAAATTTGTGCAATAAATTATAAATGACTAAATTATCACTGCTTACAATAAGGATTTTGATATGAATTAGTTATAAATAAAAAATAGTGATTAAAAACAGGTGTGTCGTACGGGAGATGTAATACAAGTGTTGGTACTCTCATTGAATACTTACATTCGTTTAGTAGTGTTTTAAATGAAGTTTACATTTTACACACAAATACAATAGTTTTTCTTTAAATTCATATTATATTCTGTAATATAAACCTTATTGTTATACTTTAGTAAATGCCAATAAACTTAACACTAACTGTATATCAATAATAATTTTAAAATCATATTATATTCTATTAACTTTGTAAACAACTTTACCATGTTATTTTGTATTATAAATTCTTATAATGTTTTTGTAACATATTGTATTGTTTTTTAGTATACAAATAACTTGAATATTTTGGTAATTTGTTATATATTTTGTGCAATACTTGTGAATATTGTGATATAAAAATGGTTAAAACGGAATTAGTTACAAAGAGAAAGATACCTGCTCAACCATGGGATTATTATGTATATACGTTAATTTTATGCGTTATCCACTTAATATTTGTAAGTATCCACTATTTAATTTATTATATTTAATTCATTTACTAGTATTTTGATGTTACTACAAATATATGCTACTATTATAATAATTTTTAATTTTATCATTAAATTGTTCTTAATAATTTGCATATTATAATATTTTCGTGATTATTATACAACCACAACCCTGCTAACCTAATAACCAGAATACATGACTCACCAACTATGTTAGATAAAATTAATTCAATTTATCACTAATAATGGCATTTTATGTTTACTTGTACCTGTACTTGTACATTTTTATTATTGAAAATGTGGCGATAAAAATAGAAATTAATTTGCTTTGTATTTATCATATGTTTTTGATGGCCAGGGATTAAACAATTCATGTTTTGGTCCCTCGTTTGTGGACTACAAATTTGTATTGCAAACTACAATGAGCTGGATATCACTTTTTCCTAGCTTATTATCGTCTGGTTATATGCTTGGATCACTTTGTAAGCTATTTATCATTCATTTATTTTTAACGCAAACATATTTTTTGGTACAAATTACAGTACTTTTCAAATACAACGAATATTTAACAATAATTTTATTAATTAGGAATAAAAATATACAGGTAAATTTACTTGTAAAAGTTTTTTTCTTAGTAATTGTTATGCGATCAAAGTATACGGTATTTATCAATATTTTCAGAAATACTGATTGTACTATGAAATTGCAAAGATTAAATAAAAATAATCTACGTAAATTTAAGTACCTTTCAAAATATTTAAGTGACTATTTCAATTTCATTGTTTTATAATTAATAATAATAATTTATAATGTAAACTTTATTTTAATTTTTATTTACAAAATATATCAAAATATATAAATAATTATTCTTTTATTATTTACATAATTGAAATAATGTCTAAAATCACATTATTTATACCCTACATATTTTAAACTTATATTACTTTATAAACTTATATTACAGATAGATAGTAAGAATTAACTATAAGCCAAAGTACAGTAATGTAAATTCAATACAAGTATTTTAATTATTAAACATTTATGTTCGCACAGTTGGTTACCTATATAAATATGTGAACCGGCAAATCATCCTGATCATATTCATCAGTCTCATGGGCATATCGACAGCACTGTTGCC